TGATTTCGTTTCTCACTGAGTGCCCCATTCAAATCTTTTATATCAAATAACCCAACGAGAGTTGGCATGTCTCAAAATCACGAATCCTACCTCAGTCATAGATAGATAAATAGATAGATATACAGTGATGGAAGGAGAGAAAGAGAGAAAGAAGACAAAGAAGGAAGATAGTAGGAAAGAAGGAAGGAAGGAAAGAAAGAAAAAAAAGAAAGAAAAAAAGAAAGAAAATAAAGAAAGAAAGAAAGAAAGAAAGAAGTAATGTTTTGTACCAATAGATATTCGAATAAATCTTCGCAATTATTTGGTGGGACGAAATCTTCCTTGATTTGAGTTTGTCTTTAAATCAATGTTTTTTTCCTGTTCCTTTTATTAGCAAAGTTTATTGAAATTCTTATTTGCTCGCACACCGAATTTCAATTAAAAATCTTTGGTTCATGCATAACTTGGCGAATTACAAACTTTGTTGTATATCTTTCAATCTAATATCTGTCAACAACAACAACAATATATATTATAAAGTTTGCAGTTTTCATAGTTTATTTATTAACTTATCGTCTAGACATTACTAAAATTAAAATGTTAGAACACACATAGTCATCTTTGACAGGGCTGGAATGTAGGCACTGGAGGTCCGGGGTAACGTTTCACTTATCGGTACGCGAACCAGAATATTGTGAAATTAAGTTCGATTTTCAACCCATGCTGATCTACGTCAGCTTCAAGGTAATAACCTTTTGCAAAAGACATGTTTTTAATTCCTCTTGCGTTTTTTTATTTTTTTTTATTTTTTTTTTTTTTGCGTAAACTGTTCTTCGATAAATAACTTAACTGCCAGCAACACTAAAATAAATAAATACTAAAGAAAAGGAAAACTGTTACAAATATTCAAACGAATTCCATTCTCTAGTTCCACCAGTTCAGACCTTTACAGCTAGGACACACCATGTCATATAAACAGGGTTGAATCCTTCCCTTCATGAGATCAAAGTTCCACTCTGAACATTGTAGAACAGAGTCTCAAGAATAGGGCCCGTGCAAGGGTCTTGTGGGTCCCCACCGAAACTATGTTTATAGTCCCCCCGGATCTATGAAAAATGAGCACCCCCCCTCTCTACTACAATTCAATTTTCATAATGTAAAATTCATATAAAATACAAATTTTATTGTAACATAATCATGTACACTAATCGATCATCATACTTATTATAAAACCCAGGTTGTGTGTGTGCGTCTGTACGTTTATATATTGGATCGGATTTCCTACATTTTTCAACCGATTTCAACAAAACTTCACAGAACTGCGTAAAATTACCTTGCGGTGGTTCTGACAGTGCCAAAAATTGGAAAAACAATTGTTTTTGCACGAAATCAATTTGAAAACACGATTAAGAGGCATCGCGAGAATGAAAGGGGGACAACTCATATCGAGTTATACTTATTATAAAACCCAGGTTGTTGTGTGTGTGTGTGTGTGTGTGTGTGTGTGTGTGTGTGTGTGTGTGTGTGTGTGTGTGTGTTCGTTTATATATGGAATCGGATTTCTTACATTTTCAACCGATTTCAACAAAACTTCACTTTTTTTTTGGCAGGTAGTATTTTTATTGTCTTGCACACTTTTTTTCTTTATTTTTACATTCAGAATGCTTTAAAAATTCCATTTACAAGACAATTGTTTATAATAAAATTCTATTCAATCGGTAGACTCATAACGATTGAAAACAATGTTTTTGTTTGAGTTTGGGTTTGACCAATTCGTAAAAAATACAAAACAAAAACAAAAAAACAAAAAAAACTAATTAAGACATGCGTGTCCGTCAATCTTAAACAATAATCTTTATTAATTTTATTTTTCAGTTTTTATGATGGTCGATACTTGATCTATCTCTTACTGTTATATCCCCGGGCAACGCCGGGCTCTACTGTTAGTATGCAATATAGGTAAAGAATTCAACTAGAAAAATTGAAAATAAATACAATGTATCTAAATACAAATTAGAGACATGTCATAATAGATCATTCCATCTTAAATAAGTCAACTATGTTTTGCAGCTATTTTTAACATCAACTTGAGACTTTTTTTGTTAAGAAGTTGAAGAACTTTAACACATTCAACATTATGGATGAAAAAAATAGTGAACTATAGTGGGTTTTGTTTTTTTTTCTTCTTAGCATGAGCAAAAAAATCACGGATTTGGACGGAAATAAAATAGACCCCAGTATGACGTCAAAATCAGTGAAAATTTTTCATTCCTTAACAGTCAGTTATGCTTATATTAATAATTAATTTGTAACATAGGTAGAAAAAAAGCAAATGTTGATAAGATAGCAGTGGTCACAAAGTACTGCCTGGAGTCCCAATCAAGGTTGGTTCCACTCCAGTCCAGAGTTGGGGGTAATACGGCCCTGCTGAGGGTGGAATATTTCCCTGATCACTACAACTTCTTCAAGACGAGGGTCAGCTATTATCTATTCTATATATCCTTATAAACTGCATTTAATTCTTCCTCATACGTTTATTACAATAATCCTGGGTATGGTGATAAACTACATCTGGTAACAAGGCAAGATTGGAGGTTTTGAGGAACGTGGTACCACCCACTTAATTGCTGTTGTGCCTGACTCGTGTTGGCAGCAGCGCCTGTTAGGGACCCAGCTATGGGCAAATAGTGGACCCCCAAAACAAAAACAAAACACTATGGAAGTAAAAAAAAAATACATTTTTATAATAAAATTATCAGTAATACCTAAAGTACGACCAACGATACATTTTATAGCAAAATTACCAGCAATACGTTTTTATAGTAAAAATTACCAACAATATATGTTATTTTGTAGTTAAAAGGCATGTAAATTTCGTTCAAAACCTTTATATTACAGCATTAAATAACCCGTATAGGTTGATCGACCGACAAACACAATCAAACAAACGAAATATCTATACAACAACCACATTCAGTAAACCTAGTGTGACTTTTGGGTCCTTTATTGAGTGTGAATTTTAGTATAGAAATAAATAAAAACACTGCTTATATCTACAAAAAACATCATATCTCCGATATTGAGCATATAAAAAAAACTCCAGACCCCCCACGTTAACAGGGATCAATTAAAAAATAAATAAACCCTATTTTCTGTAGCTTAATTTGGTTGTATTTATTTATTTTTAATATTTGTATATTTAACTGTATTTGTTATATATATATATATATAGTGTAACCCGGATATAAGACAGTTGTCGGGACCGGAGACGAAGTCTCTTATATCCGGGTTTGGTCTATTTTATGTACATTAACACAGGCTCTAATTTGGGACCAGAGAAAATCCCTCTTATATCCGGGTCTCTTATATCCGGGTTACACTGTATGTATATTTCAGACCCGTTGCTAAAGACTGCCTGTGCTCCCCATAAAATCATTCGCTCCCCCCCCCCGACCCTACCGTGCAAACGATGTGAACTAATTTTAGTCTATAAATTTTTATTAACGCCCCATTGACTTAAAGGGTGTTCTCGTCAAAACACCCAGACAACGAGTCTGTATTAGTAGCCGTCGATTAATATTCGTAGTCCCGGTAGGGATATCGTTTTATTTTTATTTGTTTATTTATAGGATTTATTTATAAATAAACAAAATTATACCTCGCGCCAACTTTAGAAAAAGAAAATTATACATCGCGCCAAGTGTAGACAGAGTTCGGAACATGTTAAGGCATTTATTAATAAATTTAAAAAATATAAAGTTAGCTACATTTGATGTCAGGGATTTGGCTATAAAAAAAAAGTCTTTTTAGCTAAAATTTAATAATGTGTAATTATTTTTCTTGATTATATGAAGGAATTTTATATTTTTTATTTTATTTATTTATTTTTTGTCTATTTATTAACTTTTTAGCAATGTGACTTAAGGCAATAGGCGTAATAACATACAGCAAAAACTAAAACAAAAAAAAACGCGTGCGTGTGTGCATTTATAGTCGAATTTCGTCGACTTGGTAAAAAAAAAAAAGAAAAAAAGAAGTTATCCTTAAGTCGGTCGAACAATAACTTAATCGGAAAGAAAGATTATCCTTCTAATCGGCGTGTTTTTCAATCGTCAACGTTTTAAGATGAGTTTTTTTGTACTGCCATAATGAATTCTTTTCTTTTTTTTATTAGGAAAGGATTTTTTTTTTTTTTTTTTAGTTTGTTTTGGTTTTTTTAATAATAAAAAAAATGCCTTCTGTTCTTGTGCTGGCTTAATGTGGCTCATTAGGTAAAGACGTGTTTTTTTCTTTATGGTTGTCGTGTTCGATGGAATGTCAGTTCGCGAACATCAGGAAGGAGGACTTGGAAGTTTGACATAACTCCAATCCATTCGTCGATCTGTAAAATCGATACCCCCGTTTGTTGTAACTGGAAGATACTTTCTTTCACTGTTTCGGATAAGACTCACATGGTAGAAATGGGAATGTCTATAGGAATCAGTTAGGCTTAATTTATTATGATTCAAGGTCTGATAGTGGGGGATAGAAAAGTAAAACAGTGTTACTGTTATATGTCAGTTCTCCAGTATAGAAAAATAAGCATTATAAAATGGTGACATTGAACAGGACTCGAACATAGACTTTTCATACTTTGTCAGCAATATGTAACCGTCTCTGCCGCGAGGTGGCAAGTAGATAGATTTATATTAATTGTCGTTTGAAATAAATTGGATATATATATATATATAAAGAAAGAAAGAAGGAAATGTTAACAAGAAAGAAAGAGGGAAGTGCTAAAAAGAAAGGAAGAAAGAAAGAACGAAAGAAAGAGTAAGGGGTTAACAAGAAGAGAAAGTAAATAAAATGGTTTTAAAAAAGAAAAAAAAAAACATTTGACGATACCTTGATAAAGGATCCGTCGTCGTGATAATGTGAGTGGCCTTTGTTCAGTTCTGTACAATAGGGTATCATTATCCATGTCCATATCAAGACCAACTCCGTGACCGCTGTTTGTCGATCGTTGCTCCACCTCCGTCGCCATGTTCAGCCTGCCTCATGAAAAATGCTTCAAGGCAGCTACTTCTGATGCTTCTTGTTTCTGTGGTTACACGAGAGCAGCAGCAGCACAAGTATTGACGACCTCATCAAACAACAACAGCCTCAACAACGAGAAGCAGTTGTCGTAACACTAGCACAGTAATAAGAACGGTAAAAAAAAATACAAATCGTTGCTACACGCAGCAGTAGTCGCAGTAATGACGGTAGTTAAAAACGACTGTTTTTTTACAAGTATCTTGTAAACGCTAGATCTTGTAACAATAGTTCTTTTATTATCATTATTATTATTATAATTGTCCGGATTTTACACGTTGTGTTATCATCGACGAGACAAATCTTTATTTATTTTCTTCTACTCGGCCGACGTATGGCGAGAAACACCACCCTTCGAAGAGTGAGGAAGAAATCGCGAATATTTCACTTCCGATGAGAGGGGAAAAAAGAAAAAAAAAAACTCCATAACGAGGCCCATTTCCAAACAAATTTACTTTATAGTACGCAGGTTTCACGGAATCTATAGAGTTCTCTCCGTCTTTTATTTAGTGATAGAAAGTTTAGTTTACAGAAATCGGCGAGCAGAGTTCAAATCCCGGCTTTGTCAGTTGCGTTCACTATTTCTCTATGCTTCTTCAGGAAGGACACGAAACCATCTCTCTACCCGCTATCTACGGATTAAATAACATAGGAGTCTGTGGAAAAACATCACCCTACGAAGAGTGAGGAAGAAATCGCGAATATTTCACTTCCGAAATCGAAGCGGGAAAAAAAGAAAAAACTCCATAACGAGGCACATTTCCAAAGAAATTTACCTTAAACGCAGGTTTCACGGAGTCTATGGAGTTTTCACCATCTTTTATTTAGTGTTAGAAAGTTTAGCTTACAGAAATCGGCTGGGTTCAATTCCCGGCTTTGTCAGTTGCGTTCACTTTCTCCTTGTGCTTCTTCAGGAAGGGCACGAAACCACGTCTCCTCTCGCCATCTATGGATTAAATAGCAATGTAGACTGGCGAGAAACACCACCCTCAAAACACTGACGAAGTAATCGCGAATATTTCACTTCCGATTTCAGGGGAGGGACTCCATAACGAGGCCCATTTCCAAAGAAATTTATTTTATAGTACGCAGGTTTCACGGAATCTATGGAGTTCTCTCCGTCTTTTATTTAGTGATAGAAAGTTTACCTTACAGAAATCGGCGGGCTGAGTTCAAATCCCGTTTTGTCAGCTGCGTTCACTTTCTCCCTGTGCTTCTTGAGGAAGGGCACGAACCCACCTCTCCTTCCGTCATCTATGGATTAAATAGCAAGAAAAAAAAATTGCTTGACTTGAGTGGCATCTTTGCATTCCAAATCGTGTAACCAATGGTTTTTAAGCTATTTTGCAGGTTTTTCACCATAAGTCATGATGTCCTTCCCCACTTTCCAAGATTGTCTGACTCAAAAGGTGCCTTCCAAAAAATATGCATATATTATTGAAAATCTTCATTTTTTTTCCATCTTAGTTCTTTTACATTGACATGGATTATTTTTGTAGTGGAAAAAAAAAAATCAAGCAAAAAATACAAAACCTAACGGAAAGAAAACCCAGCGTGACCTCTTAGTAGCACGGACAGATGCATATTCGGCCTGTGCCGCCTTGGGGGTGTTCGAAAATTAACATTTTGAGTCTACCATTCTGTGACCCCCAATTCCCCCCTCCTGAAACCCTGAAGTTCTCCCCTAGAGGGGGTGGGTGTCCACACTGGTTGAGAACGCCTGCTTTAGACGTTTACAAGTCATGCAAAAAAACTGAAAACAATACTCTCTTCCCTCTCTCTCTCTCTCTCTTCCCCTCCTCTCTCTCTCTCCCCCTCTCTCTCTCTCTTCCCTCTCTCCCCTCTCTCTTCCCTCCCCTCCCCTCTCTTCCCCCCTCTCTTCCCCTCTCTCTTCCCCTCTCTCTTCCCCCTCTCCTATTCCCCCCTCTCTTCCCTCTTTCTCTCTCTCTTCCCGCTCTCTCCCTCTCTCTTCCCCTCTCTCTCTTCCCCCTCTCTCTCTCTTTCCCCCTCTTTCTTACCCTCTCTCTCTTCCTCCTCTCTCTCTTCCTCCCCTCTCTTCCTCCCTTTCACTATTCCCCCCTCTCTCCCTCTCTCTCTCTCCCCCTCTCTCTCTTCCCCCCCTCTCTCTTCCCCCCTCTCACTATTCCTCTCCCCCCCCCCTCTCTCCCCTCTCCCTCCCCTCTCTCTCCCCCTCTCTCCCTCTCTCTCCTCTCCTCTTCCCCTCTCTCTTCCTCTCTCTCTTCCCCTCTCCCCCCTCTCTCTCCCCTCTCTCTTCCCCCTCTCCCTCCTCTCTTAAACGTTTGTCATAGCAATAGCGATAGAGAAGAGAAAGGTTAGCAACATTTCGTCTGCGGGGTTAGGGTCATGTGTTGCAGGGTGGAAAATAATTAATCACCCACAGACTCGGTGGTACCTGCCCATATATGGCTGCAATATTCTATTCTTGGTTTGATTTGACTCTTGTAATATTTGAGTATCGCAGATAGAGGTTTCAAGGAACCGACTTTTCTTTTATTATCTTTACCGATGTCACCAGTATAAGAGAACCATTTGAAGTGTGGAATGAGCTTTAGTCCCCACAGTCGTTCGAGGCAACTTATTATTCCCGATGCAACCTTTTCACCATAAGTCAGGATGTCATTCCTCACTTTCCAAGATTGTCCGGCTCAAAAGTTGCATTCCAAATAATATGCAAATATTATTGAAAATTTTCATTCTTTTCCATATTAGTACATCGACATTTACATGGGTAATTTTTAGAGAGGTTTTATAGAAAATGTTGAATTTTTAATGGATTTAAGTAATTTGTTTTAATTTATAACTAAGGATTAAATAAATAAAATGAAGCAGAAATCAATAAACAAAAAGTTCAATAGAACGCCAGGGTATTGGAAATCAACAAAGAAAATTCTATAAAGAAAAAAAAAGAAAACACGAAAGAAAATTCCACCACAAGAGGGTGGATTCCTCGTTGGATGAGAACTCCTGCACTAAAGTCAAATATATATTTGGTTATATCTACATTAGACTAAAGCCTTGGTTCTCACCCTATTGTGCCCGATACACCTTTTTCACCATAAGTCAGGATGTTATTCCCTCTTTTTCCAAGACTGTTCGACTCAAAAGGTTCTTTCCAAATAATATGCATATATTATTGAAAAATCTTCATTCTTTTCCATATTAGTACATCGACATTAACAAGGATGATTTTTATAGAGGGCTTTTACAAATTTAATACCAATAGAAAATGGTGATGGATTTTTAAACTTGAATCCATGTGCAGTAATTTGTTTTATTTATTTATTTTTATTTTTTTATTTTTATGCGTTTCACCCCAAGCAAGGCGAGAAGCCACTAGGACGCAAGGGATTACTGAAAAATTGGAGCAATATCAGATAGGAGTGATAGAAGAAAGGATGAGGAGAAGGGTAGTGGATAGATCAAGGCAACTGGAGATGTCGATTGACATTGCATTTGAATAGCTAGAGTTTATAGCTCTCAGGGAAACTGGAATAGGGAAGGCAGTTCCCACAGGCGAGAGGTGCGAGACATGAAGCTATTGGAGTAGAAGAGACGGCTACATTTAGGAGTTTCGACAGTGAAAGGGTGAGAGCGGGATGCCAGCCTCGTAGGGCGCTTGAACTCATGAAGTCTGGGAACCAGCGAATGCAGCTCCTCGGTGCAATTGGCATGAACGTATTTGTAAAATAGACAGAGAGAGGCGACGGCGCGTCTGTGAGAAAGTGTCTGTAGACGAGATGCCAGATCAGGGCCAATTATATTGCATATCCGCCTCTGGAGCCTATAAAGAACCCCGAGGCAAACAGAAGGGCTCCAGACCATATATGGCAGCAATACTCCATGCAAGGGCGAATTGTTGATTTGTAGATCTGGAGGATCGATTCCGGGAGAAAATTTCCTGGCGCGGCACAGGGAGCCAACTTTCCTTGCGGTGGACGAAGCAATTGACTCAATGTATTTGTTCCATCTCAGGTCAGCCGTCAACGTGAGACCGAGCAGCCGTAGAGAGGTACTCTCGAGAAGTTGAGCGTCAGACATTCTAATGGAGGGCAGGGAAGGATCTCTGTGGTGATTAATAGAGAGCAGTTTTGTTTTTGAAGCATTAAAGTTGACCAGCCAATTCCTGCCCCAGTTCACAACCGATTGGAGGTCCTTTTCGAGACGCACGGCCAGGTTAGTTTTGTCAGTTTTTGAGTTCATAACTTATTAGTAAATAAACAAAGCAGGCGTCAATAAACAAAAAATCGGAGGGCCGAGTTCCAATTCCAATTGGGTTCGTTATATTCACTTACACGCAAATACCCTTGGGAAAGGCATGAATCCATCTCTTTTCCCTCCCGCTATGGGTTGGATTGCAGGACAGACCGGGTTCTATAGCCTTGATTGGCAATTTGTCTACCACAGAAAGAAATGGTATCCTAGTGCGGGAAAATCTTTTGCCTCGTCAGTGATGAATCAAAAGAAACATGATCGTCCAAACGTGTGTCATGTATGGCGTTAAGCTGACTGAACAGAAATTATTATGTAAGGAAAACTCTTGCAATTACATAAAACTATATTTTTTTGGGGGGGGTATATTTACATTAGACTAAAGCCTTGGTTCTCACCCGATTGTGCACTAATACACCCTTTTCACCATAAGTCAGGATATTATTCCGGCCTTTGCAAGATTGTCTGACCCTAAAGGTGCTTTCCAAATAATATGCTTATATTATTGAAAATCTTTATTCTTTTCTTACGCAGCTGAGAGTAAATCGACATTTACATGGATTATTTTTGTAGTAGCAAAAAAACACAAAACCTAGCGAGAAGAAAACCCAGCGTGACCTCTCAGCAGCGTAGACCGATGCACATTGAGGGTTGTGCCGCCTTGGGGAGTCTACCAATCTGTGGCCGCAATCACTACCTCCTGAAATCCTGACACCCGCCTAGGGGTGAAGTTCCCACTGGGTGAGGACCCCTGGTGTAATGGTAACGGATAACCACTCCAATATCTCCCCAAGGAAACCATGACAACAGATAACAAATTAACGGTATTTGAGGAAAGCCATGAACCCTTAATCCCCAAAGAGACATGACATTTAAAAACGGCTTGGAGTGACACTATTGGAACTGTAGCGGGAGGAGGTTGAACATTTCATACCAAAAGAAACGAATTTGACATTCCCAGAAATTAATTCAACACGTGGAGGATTTTATTTATAAAGGGTGTTCCAATAACATTGAATATGAATTAAGTTTAAGTGTTTAATGATTTTTTTTTCTTTTTCTTTCAGATTTAACAACTTAAATCTTTAGCAGTTTCAACCATGGAAAGATTAACAATGAAACAACGTGTTAAAGTTTTCGAAGCCTATTATGAAAATGGACATTCAAACAGAAATGAGATGAAAAGTTCCCAGGTCGCATCATCTCTCGAAACAGCAAAGTCAATTGGCCATCACGATCGTGAGACTTGACGCCTTTAGATTTCTTCCTTTGGGGGTCATCTCAAAAGTAAGGTCTATGCCAATAAGCCAATAACAATTCAACAGCTGAAGGATGAGATAATAAGGCATATTTGTGAGATCGAGGAGCAACTATGAAGAGACGTCTTCAAACTATGCAACTATACAGAGATGTCATCAAAAATGTTGACCATCGCGTGTGCTACCGAAGCCTTGGCAGACATTTGGGCGATATTATTTTTCACACATAATTGCCATGACTTAAATAACATAATCCAATAGAGAAATAAATAAATTTTCACCAATAACACTGATTTATTTACTGCTGACTTTGATCCGTCTTAATGAAACACCCTTATATATAATCCGTCTTAATGAAACACCTTTTATTTGCAATGGGCAAAGAACTCCCGAGAAGATGCTTCCCCTATGACAACTATCTTAACCCCTTCAAGTTTAGGGTCAGCCGTTATCTATTCTAAATATCCTCATAATCTACAATTCTAATGTTCATAAAATAACCTTACTTAGTAACACTCTACCAAATAACACCGTCCTGCGTAAGACGATAAATGACATCCACCTCTTAATTCCTGGTGTTCCCATGTCCACCCTGACACGAATAATAGCACCTGTTAGGGTCCCAGCTATGGGCAAATAGTAAAACCCTAAGCTGGGGACAAAACACTATGAAAGTGTAAAAATACGTTTTAATACCAGAAATACTTGTAAAAAATTATTACCAGAAATACATTTTTGAAGAAAAAATTTATTTCCAGCAATACATTTTTGAAAAAAAAAATCACCAGCAATAGATTTTGGGAAAAAATATTACCAGCAATAAAATTTCGTCGGCATTAAATAACCCATTGAGGTTGATATGCCGTAAAACAAAATAAACCAAACCAAACTGATTTCTTACAAAGAATACATATTCTATTCATACAAACCTATCCTAAAAATCTTGCCGGCATTAAATAACCCATTGAGGTGTTGATATGCCGTAAAACAAACCAAACCAAACCAAATAACTGAAGCCACTAAAATGGATATCACATGTAACTCAAATAGAAAATAATGTCATAATCAAAATGTTAGCATTCAACACCACTTCAAATAAAAGGTTAGGGAGGAAACCCTCATCAATACTGGATAGAATAAAAATTATAGTGAATTAATTGTTCCACTGTTAGCCATATATGTAAACGTCGGTGGGTTCTGCAGTTGGGTTGGAAGGAGAACTCTGACCCGCTTCTGCAGTTGGGTTGGAAGGCTAAGTCTGGCCCTATTCTGCAGCTTTATTGCCTTGCCTGGTGTGAAATGATTAAAAAAAAATGTGGACTGGTGCACCAGATTCACAAAGAACCTTACCAAATAACAGAAACCAAATCACCTGATGATTACCAACAGCAGCAACGACTAAAATGGATAGCACTTGTAACTCAAAGAGAAATTAATGACATAATCAAGATGTTAATATTCACACCACATCAAATAGAAAGTTCGAAAGAAAACCCCCATCAATACTGGAAAGAGCGATAACAGCCACTGGACTTGTGAAACCTATTTTCCTGAAAAATATTTTTAAGTGAAATATTAAATATTACCGGTAATAAAATTTTGTCAGCATTAAATAACCCATTGAGGTTGATATACTGTAAAACAAAACAAACTAAGCCAAATAGCAGAAACCACATCACTTGGGGACTACCAACAGCAGCAACAACTAAAATGAATAGTACATGTCACTCAAAGAGAAGATGATGGCATAATCAAGATGTTAGCATTCAACACCACTTCAAATAGAAGGTTACGAATGAATCTCCCA